CCGGCAGCTGACGGGTCCCAAATCCAGAGAGAGAGTGCACGGGTGAAATTTGGGCGGGACCCAGCCGGGCAAAGCCCCGGTAGCAGAAGGACTCACAGCGGAGAAGCAGCAGAGACTTTCAGCACTCAAGTGGTGGACAGCGACGCGGTGCGGGACCCGCCGCATCTCCAGGTGCGCGCAGGGGCCACGAGATCCCAGCACACCCCCATACCTGGCGCCCAACATGGGGCCTCTGAATCTCGTGCCAGCTAGGAGCTGGCACCCACTGAAACGCAGGATTCGTGAGTATCCCTCCCCACCAGGAGGGTAATAAAAATCTCTTCTAATTTCCTCCTTTTGTTTCCGGCCTGAAGTCTTCACGTGAGAACACTAGAGACAGAGGAAGCAACTGAAGTTTTCTGGTCAGGGCCACTCCCTGACATTAACCAAAGGCCCCTCTGACCCCCTAACGGACTCCGACTACCTGCACAGGTGTAGACAAAAGACCTCTATCTAGATATCTTTCTAATATAAAAAATCCGGTAACACAACGGCCACTTAAGAGCCATTAGGGCAGCCGCCAGCCCCTCAAATTTGCAGGAAGGCCTGTGCTGGGAACCACGTGGGATCCCCTGAAATTTCAATTTCAGGCACATCCCCTTGGGAACCATCACTTCACCCCACTTTTCTATCACTGCTAGAAAAATCCCCAAAGTTCCAGGGATCTCCACGTAAGCTTTGGAGTCAGGCAGATTTCTCTAGTCAGCTCTGTTACTTTGCCCCCAGGCACTCAAGCCGCAGCTAGAACCAGTTGAGAATTTAAATTAACTAGCCCCTGCCGAGCACCTGGGAATTCACGGTGGCTCACGGCCAGAACAAAAGATTTAAAACTGGCATTTTTTTTCTGCAGATCTAGAGGCTTGTGACTTACTAAGACGTTCCAACCCCCTAGTGTCTGACTGCTGTAGAAACATCTTCCCTTCATAATGGGAAATTCAGCATCGCATCAGAAAAAAAGCCAAATTCGTTCCCTTAAGACCCTACTTAAATCTAGAGGGCTTAAGATCTCTCAAAAGAAAAGCTTAAAATTTTGGAATGAGGTGTATCAGTTTGCACCCTGGATCCTATCAGCAGACATATCTGATCCAGAGGTATGGAACTTTCTTTCGCATTTGGCTCGTAAAAAAGAAATCCAAGAAAGGCATAATTTCCCTCTTTCCTTTTTCCCGGTAATGGCAGCCATCCAGCAATGCTTAAAAAACCCACCTAAGATTGAGGAAAGTTTACAGGCACCAGAAAATAATAAAAGAGTTTTTAAGCGATAAAAAAAACAAAAACCTGCAGACTGCCCAATAGCAGATTCAACAAGCCCAGATACTAACGCCCAGATTTCAAAAGCTTCCAAAAATCCTCAGGTAAATTCCCCTCCTCCTTCAACTCGGCTACCGCCGTGCCCTGTGGCTCTGCTATCGCCTGTGGTGAAGTTCCAGCCACGCCCTACAGCCACAGAGCAGCTGTGTAACCTTAGAGATAATGGGAGTTGCCAGCCTCAAAATTTCCAGCCTCAGCGGTCTCAGGACCCCCATAACCCACCGGTAAAGGCTCTCCCAGACTTTATACTAAGAGTTCAAGCAAGTTTAGATAGAAAAATAACAGATCCTGCAGCCAAAGCAATGCTTTTAAACAGCCTTGTCTGGGAAGGGATGACCCCTGAGCACAGACAAGCATGCCAGGGACTAAAAAATGAACATTATGACAAATGGATTGTGGCCACCCATGACATTGGGACTGCCACGTACCAGGCCTCCTCCCTTGCCCAAGCCCTTGTAGTCACAACCCAATCCAACTCAAAGTGCTTTAAATGTGGAGAAACTGGACACTGGAAAGAAAATTGCCCCCAAAATGACTCAGCTGCCACTCGACGCCCTAAAACCCTCTGCCCTCACTGTAAAAGGGGCTTTCACTGAAAAAGAGATTGTAAATCTAAATATAAGAGTGATGGCAAATCTTTGCCACCTTTAAACTCCTTCCAGGGCAACCCTCAGCCCTGCTAACAAGAGGAAAGCCACAAACATTATTGGTAACCAGTATTACAAAAAATACCTATCCAAAAATTAACCATAAAAATAAACAATAAACCTTTCAAATGCCTCCTTGACACTGGGGCTGATAAAACCCCTTATTGCAGGGGCAAAATAAGACCCCTGATTGCAGATATAGCCACAAATCTCATAGGAAGAGATATCCTGGAAGACCTCAATGTACTTTCTTCCCTTCACCACCTACCCCAATGTCTAATTGCCTTTTTTGTGCATCCAGCAAAAATTTCACTGACTTTCATCTAAGTGTATTCAAACAACTGGCTAACTATTCAGTTACATTTTCAGCAACAAGCCTCCCCAGTACAGCGTGCATCACTCCTCTTTTCCTATAGAGCAAGGAAAAGCCCAAAACTGTGTTAATTTCTCTTTGTCCACCTTTTTGTGTACTAATAATAGTTGCATCCCAGGAGCTGCCAGCAGAAAAAGATCTTCTTCCCTCTGCTGGCAGAGATCGAACCTGCACTGGATGCTGGAGGCGTTGCTATGGCGACAGCTGCTACAAGCTACACCTGATTCTGCTCTGGCTGAGACAAGCTGGACTAAACAATGACATCTGCGACTGAAGCCTGGAATCTCTCCAACAGCAAATGAACTCTCTCACCAAGGTGTGCTCCACAACAGAAGAACATTGGACTTAATAACTGCTAAATATGGGAAGGGTGTATGATATTTGAGAAAAAATGCTGTTTCTTTGTAAATGAATCAAATGTTATTGAAACCAATGTTAACATTCTCAAAAAACCTTGTAACCCATTTTCAAGATTTCAACCCACCAGACAATTAGGTTGGCTTAGCAATCCCTTGTTTTACATGGCTCCTATCCCTTGTTGCCCCCTGGTAATACTGTGTATTATTTTGATGCTTGCTCACTGTTTTTAAGATTTCCTTGCTGACAAATTACTGCCATTTGCTAAAATCACTACAAAACAGGTCATGGTCAATTAT